TAAACTTACGAAAATTTAACATAATGTCTAGTATATTTGGATTTAGATTAGGTCCCGATTCAAGGCAGTCATTTAACGAATTCGTGTCCTCTGTCCTTGAGCTAGCATCGTACACAATTCTTACCTTAGTAGTTTCACTAGGTCGTATCACTGCTCGGTGCGAGGCATAAAATATCCCAAATTTGTATCATTATTTGGACATTCCTCCACAATTCCTTCTAATATCTGGTTCTCAATTATATTTTTATATTCCTGAAAAATCTCCGGAGTTTTACTTAGTTTATTGTGAAGGTTTGCGAATCGTTTCTTAGCTACCTCAAAATTATTTCCTAGATTATTCGGACTGTATTTCCAGATTAAATTTGCCTCATATCTTCCGTTTTTAAACTGCAAATTTCTTTCAAACTGGTCTACTATTTCGCAGTCAATATCGGAATAATCATCAGAATCATTAATTCCCATATGTTCTAATTCCCAAAAACCTCTTAAATCTTTCAACACAACAGTGTTTGTCATTACCGCTAAATTTTCAGAACAATTTTTGTTTGTTTTATTTTTCTCGATTCCTGCGGCAACCCAACCAAACACAGAACTGACTGCGTACAACCCTTCAGATATTTTAATTCTTTCAGAATAAACTACATTCCAGAATTCATCCCCTCCAATTAATATCTCAACATCTATGTTATTTTTTCTTGCGCAATCGGCGATCTGCAACCCCATATGCTCCATGAAGTCTGCAATTTGTTTACTAGGCACACTGATGGACGCCGAGGAAATAACATCCGAGATCAAACATTCAATTTTTATTTTATTATTTTGTTTCCAATTCTGAATTTCGATTTCAACGACCGGATAGGAATGATTCATTGCCTTCGTCGCACCAAATGAATAAACAGAAAGTCTTTCATAACGGATTGGAGTAAGTTTTAAATGGTCGGCCAATTTTTTCGTTATAAAGGATCTGTGACTGCCTTGATCAAGAATTAATCTAGTTAATTTTGATTTATACTTAGAACAAGCATAAACTGTACAAGTTTGTAATAATATTTCCCTGGCATTACAGTCATTATTATTATCACCTTGAGGAACAGAAGCAATCAATTTTAAGTTTTGAACTTTATTTCTTTCCTCAGAATTCAAAGTCAGAGATTCAGTTTCATTTTTGGAATAACCTTGTTCCAACTTTTTTTGTTTACAAGGGATTTATTAGTACAAATCGATTCATTGTGATACATACCGCCACATTTATTACATTTAGTTTTATTTTCTGCACCTTTTTCTGATGTATGGAATTTTTTTAAAACAAGAAATAGCAGCGGTTTTCGGATCTTAGTTTCTTTAATTTATCAGAAACATTCACTTCGCATTTAAATGACTCGTGCAAATTATCACAAAAGATGCATTTTCGGTTAACTGCAGTATGAAATGCAGCCGTGGGTGTATTTTTTACATATTTTCTAGTTTCATATTTTGATTGATCGACTCGCGGAGGCACAGGATTTTTCCTTTCGCTTAATACTAGATTTGAAACTTCCCTGCATTCTATTTCCGTTTTAATAAATTGTGTTAATTCCGAAACTTCAACTTTATCTTTCGATCCTCTTTGCCGATTAAATTCCAAAACTAAATCGTCCGGAATTAATTTTAATAATATTGGAATTAATAAATGTCCATATGAGCCAGAAGTTACTTCTAAAGTTTCCAAATTACGAATCGAAACTTCTAATTCGTCATATAATTTACGTAAAGCCTTTACGTTAGCAGAATTTTTAACGGCTTCTAAATTGAGAATTTTATTCATGAATGAATTAATGATCAGGTCTTTTCGACCATATCTGTCCTTTAGTAATGCTACACAACTATCATAATTACTTTCTGTTAACTCAAAGCCTGACACAACATTCGAAGCTTGTCCCGTTAAGAATGTTTTTAAGTATACAAATTTTTGTATTTTTGAAAGCGTTTCGTTTTTATGTATCGAATTTTCGAAACTATTCCAAAATTCATTCCATTGTTTGGGGTCTCCCCAAAATTTATCAATCATTAATTTTGGTAATTTCAGCGTACTACTCCCACTAGAACTGGAACTTACATGCAAAATTCCATTACCACTAGACTGGTTTAAATCAGAACTTTGGGGATTCCTCGCTGGCGGTACTGCGGTAACCGTACCTAGAAACTGCTTAATTTGACTACAAGCAATTATACATTTGTCATTGTATTCTTCGCTTATACTACAATCTTCTTCAATTAAGTTAACATCAATTAACTCTTGTATTTCATCATCAAGCGTTTTCAAATTATTTTTCTTTTCGGTTAATAATTCAAACAATTCTCGTAATTCTTTAATCAAATTTTCCTCCCCTTCAATTTTTAATTTATCTTCAATCACTTTAATTAACCTAGTAACAGATGATCTCAATGTGGAACGTTTACGTTTCAATCTATCTAACTTTTCTTCCATTTTATTTAATTTAAATACACCCACGACAGCAATAATAAATACTTACTAATGTACTACAAATAATCACTAAATAATTAATTTAAGATTTCCCTACCTTTATTTGGAATTCCATTGTCACTTGAATATGAAATATCCATTGAAATCGAAACACTTGGATCGAACACCTAAAATCTTCACAAAGCCTTAATTCCTTACGCCGATGCACCATCTAATAATTATGTGCATCTCCAAATCAGATGATGGTGGTTCAGTGGGTTTACTAATTTTAACACTTTTACATTTTAAACAATATTTTAATTACTATATACAGAGCGTATTCTTAGGCCGCCGCCTTCAACATGAACAAACTTTATTCTCTTACAACTAAGCGAGCAACAGCGCCCTCTAGCCTTTTTCTTCAAATTACACAACAGTCGTCTCATAAATTTGAAAAGAAATCTGTTCCATATGGAACTTATTTACCACTTTGTGACTATTGCTTGGATGAAGACTCGTCACTGATCTTTTCCGCTTTACGACATCTTCATTTTTGCTGAATTTGTTTAAGTGTGCTAGAGAGAAATTATTTTCGCTTTATTTGGCGACAATTTTACAAATTATTTGGCGACAATTTTACAAGTTTTAGGGGGAGGAGAGTAGTTTACAATATTTATTTTTAAAATGAAAATTATTTTCTTTGTTTCTTGCGTAGTATAAATGACTGTTGTGACGCTTCAGTGACATGAGCCTGATTTAAAACCGAATTAAAATGTAAGTATAGCTATGAATATGATTAGTATAGTATAAATAGCTATAAAACAGCGGTTCTCAACCTTTTGACTAGCGCACCATCTAAACAATAATTGAAAAACTTAGTACACCATTACATTTTACAGTGATTATTTTTCAGTTTCTCAATAAAAATATTTTTAAAAAATATTTTGCCATTTGCACAACCTATTGGCTATTCGTATTAAATGTGCACACATCAAAAATATTAGATTGAAAATTGGTTATTATTTCAATTAGCCAAATTTAAGTTATAATACTTTAATTCTAGAATTTAGTGTGAAATTTGGGCCTGTTTAAGACAGATCAATTTCTTTATGTAGGGTCTTATTTCACTTCGTTTTGACCGTAAATTAGAATCCACTTTTAATTTTCTTCTGTGTTTTTATTTTTCAAATATAGCATGGAAGAAAATCCTTGTTCACACAAATAGATTCTGCAAAAAAGTGATAAAAATTTAATAGCTTTATTTGAAATGCCTTTAAATTCCTTTTTTCGGTTCAACCAAGTGTTAAGAAGCGTTATTTTTTAAATCTTCTGTTAGAGTTCGATCACAGAAAATTTCTATCAACTGTTCTTTTTTCCCCCATGAGATTTTTTAATTTAATAGTTAAATATACTCTATTTCTTTGCGTGCCAGCGGTTGAGAATCGCTGCTATAAAATATGCTCAATAGAAAATAATTACATAAGCATAGCTGCCAACTCTGCAGTTTTACTTGGGAAACTCCCGGTTTTTCGTCACATCTTCCGATCTCCGGATTTTTAATTTTTAGCCTTTGCTAAGGAAAATCTTTCCCAGCAATGAATGAAATTTATTGAATGAATGAAACTTAAATTTTGCAAACTCTATTCTTCCACCCCTAGTGATTTTCAGAATAATTATTCTTGTTAAATTTTATTTCATTTGAAATGTACTTTAACTTCCTTGTACGAAGTACTGTAATCGTGAAAAATTTCAGGTATCATATTTCAATGAAAATATCCATTTTGGCTGCTCTCGGAGCCATTTTATTTATTTATTTATTTATTTATTTGGGGGGGGGGACATCTGTACGTCCGGGTAGAATAAAAGCTCTTTTGTCGAAAATGGATTTAAATAATATCTTGTTGTGCACCTCCCCTTTTTTGTTCAAGTGTCCGCACCAAACGTATACTCACCCTCTTACCGGGCTCGGTGAGCTCTGTTTTCTTACTCATTTATGATGGTAAACGAACATCCGTTACTTGCGAGAATTTAAATTAACATAATAGAAAGTTAAATGTAAGGAACGTAATCTGAGACTATACATACAGTAGACTACTCAAGTTGGCTCATATATCTAACGGCGCATATGTTAAACGTCGGCTAGCGAGATGCTAAAGCCGCAGTACAACTTAGGCAGTAAGTAACTGCAAGACGCAGCCGCAGTAACTGCAAGGCAATAGTAAGTAACTGCAAGACGCAGCCGCCAGAGGCTCTGATCTAAGCATTGAAAACTCTCAGTTTAAATGCACAAAATACTAATTTGCATTCTGGTGAGAAATACAGAAAGGAGAAGTTAGAAAGGTTTAAGTCGTACTAACTGGATAACTAACATAAAATACCTTACATAATGCGACGTCGTTTTATGTTGTGTCATTGAATTTTATTATAATTTTTTATTTTATATAAATTTATATATAGATTATTATTTATTATAAATATAGATAGATTATATATATATATTTATTATTGTATTATTTATAATTATTTATTTATTCGCAATTATAAAACCTGCTGCACTCACACATATGAATAGTGGGACTTCCATGGATGCCGCTGCTATGGAGTCTGTTTTTGTAGTCAGTAAGAAAAGACCGTAAGCATCATAATGTTTAGAATTTAGAGGTCTTATGAACCTTGCTATACTTGTCATCTTTGTTCTGGTGATTAGATTATGATCGGTTGAGAAAGCAGTTTTCCTTCCTTGCGTCCAATAATTTCGTATTAGATGACTTGTCAAATGGTTAATCCATACCAAACGGTTTTTAATATTTTCACAGGTGGTTTAGGATTATCTTCTTGGCGATCGTCTTTCCCCGAAGAATGTAACCCTACTTTCTGAGACGAGCTTCTTTTGCAGCTGAAAATAAACAATAAAAAAAAAGGAAAAGACAGTTCGAAAAAGACTAGGTCAAAGGTGACCTGTCGCTGCGACCGGCGGTGAGGTCACGGTCCCAGGTTCGTACGAACCACAGCGTTCGAACTTGCTTTTCCTTCCCACCAGGGGTCGCACCGAGTCATTACTTGGCCCCGTTTTCCGGCTACGGCGGCATCCCCCTTTTGTACGCTTGGTTGAGTTCTTCACTTTCTTGTGCCTTTCCCACCAGAGTAAAAGTACTTCATTCATGTTCTCTGCCCCCTTACTTCCCCCCGGAAGGAAAGAGGCCCTCTAATTGTTCCATGGGGTGTGGTTCGAAGATTCCCTTCCCCCCCTGTAGTATCGTCTCAAGGGTGTAGTGTAGCATATTTTAGAGGGATATATGGCACTATAAAGTGTTAAAATGGTAGGTAGCAAAGTTTGTTTTGAGTTGATTGTCTACTGAAACTCTTGATTCAAGGATTTGGTATCTATTTGAACTGAACTCTTCAGTTGTTGAGACATTTTCTTTTAGCATGTTTTTGTGCTGATCTATTCAGCAAGCGCAAAGATGTTGCTTGATTGCTGCGATAATGGAATACAATAGAGCAAAATGATAAAATTACTTAAATTGGATTCCTTTTTATTGCACACATGTTTATTGAATACAATATTTACTTTACTATTTGTTACTTGGAGTAAATAGTATGCTGTAAACTGTCATTGTTACAGACAGTAGCGTAGCGAGGAATTTTTGCCACCCGGATCGGTTCCGGAGATTGCCGCCTGCAGCTGTTCGTGAATTTGCCGCCCATTGTAATATACAAACATATAACTACAAAACATGCCTAAAGGACCTGTAGGGAAATAAATTAGAATTTATGTTTAGAACTTACGTTATATGAAAAACTTTAATTCCATCATTTCAAAATTATTATTATTATTATTCTGCTTGCAAATGCATCAGTGACATTGCTGATGTCTATTTGATTGCTTTTGCTGTTATGTGCGCAGTACAAGAAGATTTCGTAAATACAAAATATATATTTGTAAATACTTCTTAAATAACTTTTATTTAAAAAATGCTTCTCGCGATTAGCAACATTTACAGAACTGAGAGGAAAATTTGCACAGTATTTGGAACTTTGTTCTAGAGGACGTGTTTTAAAATAAAATGCAAAATTTCAAAAGAACAGCCCTTCCATGTTCTGTTTCGATTTCGCTAGCAATAACGGAAATAAAACTCTGGAATATTTCTTTCTTAACGAGGATTTCTTCCTTATGAATGGCACCGTGATCACAATTTAGCTGATATTCATAATTTTAATCCGATAGTTTTGGCAGAATAAAAAGAGTGTAATAAGTTTATGAAGCAATTGAAGTGTCGGAATGATAATAATGATGATAAGCTCGTCTTTCAATACATTATCTAGAGTAAAAAAAAAAATAAAATAAAAAAAATCTTTTTCTTCTCAGTTTACTTCCTTGTGCTGATTTAGAATCTAATAATTCTTCATATGCTTTGACAATCTACCGGATTAACTCCTAAGATTGTTCCATGAAAAAAAAAATCCTACCCCTTTCTACCCTCTCTAGCTACATCACAGCACTGATGAAATACTGCCATACGGGTTCGTAGTAGATCGAATGCACACAGAACCGATGGTAGCTTGTTAAAGTTTATTTTACCAAAAGGAATACTTAACAGTTCTGAAACCTTCCACAAGAATACTCTAAGCTCATCTCAGTATCACAGAGTAGCGTGTAGGACTTTCTGAGGAAAACTGGCTTGTATACACGTTACACATGGAGAAAACCACGAAAACGCTTAAGCAGTCAGCCCTTTCGCCGGGATTCTAACCCCGGATCGAACTACCAGTGTACAACAACATTAACACTCGGCCGCTGGTAGGCGTTATACTGGTTGTAATAATGATAATACGAAAATAAACTTCTAAAGTGAAATGCTAAGAAAAATAGCAAAATAAGAACACATTAAATCATCTTTTAAATCATTCTAAATATCACTTTCTAAATTCTTTTGATACATGCACTGAACTGGAAATAAAAAAATATTGCAAGGGGGGGGAGAATTAACATATGAAATAAACGCTAATCAAAGTCTGTAGCAAATAAAAGGAAATACTATTTCATGCAATTATAAAATTTGAAATTCGCAGCAAAATAACCTTAAATAATTCCATTCTAATTACACCATTCTATCACAGACGAAATTTTTCACAGCCATTTCCATTCAGGTGACCTTTTCGCCTCAAATGACATATCTGCATCTCAGCGGCAGGACTGCAGGTGACACCTCGAAACAAAAATATCTTGTCGCAGTATGTTAATCTTAAAAAGAATCGTAAAACTGCCTAATTAATACTATTTGATCATTTTTGCTTTGAACGAGGTCGAAGAATTTGTTTCATAATTTTAAAAGTTTTTATGAAGGACGCCTGTGTTAGATATAGAAATTTTAAAATGAAAAACGTAAAATACTCGAAAAAAATTGCCAAAATGCCAGCAAATTATGTTAAAAATTCTATATTCGCATAATTTTCCTCTCTCGGTTTTCGGACGACAAAATTAGTAAATAAAAGGGAGAAAATACGCACAGAAATACGGTATTTAATTTATGGAAGGAAAAATTACATGCATACCAGTTTAGCTTGAAGAATTAGTTCAGAGTATTCCGCTCAATTATTTGACTAAGCATGAATAGGGGCCCACCAGCGGACGAGCGGTAAAGTCGCTGAACACTGGTAGTTCGGTCCGAGGTTCGAATCCCGCGAACGGGCTGGCTGCATGGGCGTTTTCGTGGTTTTCCCCATGTGTAACGTGTATACGAGTCAGTTTCCCTTAGAAAGTCCTCCACGAAGCCATCCCTCCCCTTAGGCAGATAGCCCTCGTGTGCTTTGCCATAATTAAATACACACACACATACACACTAAGCATGAATAAAATCAACACACCCATCTAATGCAAGTGAACTATCTTCATTTCCCGCCAGCGCGAAATGGAAATTTCTCTATTAATGGCAATCGAAAATCTCCAAAAAATGAAATTTTTGTTACTTCTCTGCAATTAAATAGCATGGTTTTTTTTATAGCTCTAGATATTCATTAGATAACTGAAGCATAAATTTATCTGATTTGATGGTGAATAATTAAGTATTGGATAAGTAAATAATTATATAAATAATATATATGTTACCGTAAAAGACCGAAATTGGAGAATGTCGACTTTCACCGGAGAATATCAACATTCACCAAATACGTCGGTGAAAGACCGAATATTTCACATTCTTGTATATTCGGACTCTCACCGGTGTATGTCGACAATCACAGATATGCTCTGGTGAAAGTCGAAAAGAGAGGTCATAAAGTGCCATAATAGTTTAAGTTGTTGCAATCAATAAGATTTGAATCACATAATTTAGTAAGTTTTTTATTAATGTTATTTTATTTTCTCATTTAGAACGTACTGTATAATTAGGTAAGTTTTTAACTTCTATTATTTTCCTTTCTCATTTTGAATGTATTGTGTGTTTTAGGTTCTCATGTTCTTAAGTTCAAGTTTCAAGTGCGTTTATTCGCCACTGAATTACGGAGAAGAAAATATAATATTGTTATATGTTTAACATTCACCATTAGTACATGGTGAATGTCGACATTGACCGGTATAAGTCAGAAATAAGAGTATTTGGAAAATATTTCGGACATACACCAAGAGACTATGTGAAAGTCGACATTCTCCAGATTTCGGTGTTTCACCATAACATATATATTACTTATATATCAGATATCTGATCTGATGAGTATCTAATTAAGTGGTATGCTATCACAGGCATTTCCTTGCATATATGCATCCTTTTTTTGACTAATATTATCGTCCGAAAATCGAGAGGGAAAAATTATGAGAGTATTTAATTTTCGAAGAACGCGGTTACGGTGTGAACGTAACAAATGAATAGTAATGGTTAAATTACTGGTAACTATCACAATATTATTTTTTCATAAACCTACATTCCAATAATGATACCCAGTAATAGTAACATTACAATATCTGAAAGATTTTTAACCGATATCTGGCGGTCATTGAGCCGGACACCTCGCGCACCGGCTCATTTGCCTTGGAAAGCTAGCACCTCAAATGAATGAGTCTTGACCGCAGTTCCCAGGAAAGACATCAGAGGAACGAAAAAGAAGGGAGAGATCAAAAGACCCGGATTTCGAAAGGTCCAATATATCAACAGTAGATAAGGCTGTAATTAGCTGGAATGTAAATAATGGAAGTAAGGTGAAATCACATGTCTGGAAAGTATTTGGGAGAAAACTGCCACGACCGGGTAGTTTAAAGAAGAATCTGCGGAAAAATACGTTTCAGGTAATAAATGCTTTACTAAATAATAAATGCTTTACCAATAATCTAGCCCTGGGAGAGAGGAAAAAAAATGTACAAAAGAGGAAAGGGAAAATTATGCGAATATTTAAAAAATTTTCAGAACCTACCGCTAAAATGTTACAGAGAAAAATACGCGTGGAAATATGATATCTCTCATCCGTTAAAATTAACGTTACTACTGACTTCGCAATTGACCACTTACTTTCAATACACACTGTAGTACATCTGATATACAGAGTGTTTTCTGATAATTATTTTCCGTGTAAATTTAAAGCAGATTACTCGGTACAGAATTTTAAAAACGAAATTGTATAATTTTTCGGGTAGGCTATAAATATATAAGGTGTTATCTGTTTATTATTAAATGTTTATAGTTACTTATGTAGTGTTGTATATAAAAATGAAATTAGTATATTCTATGAGTACTGTAGATCCGAATAAAAAGTACGTAGCTACGCTTTTAATATATGATGTGAGCAGTGCCCGCGCTAGGCATTTTGCCGTCCGATTGCAATATTCGCAGATCCTAAATTCTGCAGCTCTGCTTCCATAAATTCTAAAAGTTTTGCCCCGCCTAAATTCTGTTGGCCAGTGCG